TAAAGAAAATTAATTAAATCAAGTTTAAAAAAAAGTCAGCTGGTGGTGGTTGTGTTTGTTAATAAAAAAATATGCAAAATATTTACATTAATTTTGAGGTAATTTAATTATACATTAAATCATACACACTATCAAAAAATAATCTATTTTTGTTGAAGTAAATATGTGCAATTTATTACAGATTTTTTTTAGCTTAGTTATTTTTATTATACCTGTATGGTACAATCAAATATTCTCCATACATCAACTCAAATTTTCTTTCTCGGGTCAAGCTAACAACAGTTCTAATATTTTCTATTGCTTCTGTGGCAATCTGCAATAGAAACATAAATGTTTTAATCAAAAATTAAGATTGTGTTGCAATTTCTTATCCTAAACTAATAAAACAATTCTGTTGGAATGTAATTTTATATTTTTTATACTGGTTATTAAAATCATGGACCTTTGATATCAAAAATAATCATTTTACATTTTTCTTTTTATGACAATGAGATTTTCTTACGATGCTCAGAATTTTCTGATAAGACCTCTTTAATGTCCTACAAATAAATGGTGAAAAACCATTAGACAGCAATGACAAGTATGGAGAAGCTATTCAACAAGAAAAATGGGGTATGAGCATTCAAATTCCAGTCCACTGAGTTTGGGCTACAATCAAAATGTCCAGGTTGCTTACGTGCCTTAGAGCCTAACTTAGATCTCAGCAGTAAATATTTGATCTGAACAATAATACATTCTTTAATCTTGCAGATATGTAGACTCGAGTCATTCGTATGCACAAAGGTACCTAGCAACATTTGAAGCCAATAAATGTGTGTCTCTATGGGATTATTACATAATCTGTTAAGACTATGGAGGTGCCCACAAAGTCTTCCTCAGTGACCACACAGTGAGGCTAGGAACCTGTATGGTCTATTTAGTCCATATTAATGTAGAATGGATGATGCTTAGAAGTGACCAACAGATGACACCTGGAATAACCACATCTCTTCAGACCCTGGAACAATGCTGCGTCCCTCTGTTCACCTCTGGATGAAACACCGGTTTTGAGTGCACAACGTACATAGCCTCCCATGAAATATGTGTTATACTGAGTATTCCAGTTGTCCTGAAATCCTGTTGCTCTGGGAGGGCACATGTACTCTATTATAGTTGACAATCCCACAGGGATGGATATTTTCAATTTCCTAATGCATCTCAAATGTTATTAAACAGCTATATCTAAGGTCTATTCAGCTGCCAATCAGTCTCATTTCTAAGGATGGGTATTTCTAAGCAGGACAGCTGATTTATGAGCATAGATACAGTACAAATGCAAAGTAATGTCTTTTTTTAACTCAGAAC